ATATAGACACCACAGACACATAATATATATACCACAGACACATAATACAGACAACACAGACACATAATATATACACTACAGACACATAATATAGACAACACAGACACATAATATAGACAACACAGACACATAATATATACACTACAGACACATAATATAGACAACACAGACACATAATATAGACAACACAGACACATAGTATTGACACTACAGACACATAGTATAGACACCACAGACACATAATATAGATACCACAGACACATAATATAGACACCACAGACATATAATATAGATACCACAGACACATAATATAGACAACACAGACACATAATATAGACACCACAGACACATAATATAGACACTACAGATTAATATAGATACCAGACACATAATATAGACAACACAGACATATAATATATATACCACGGACACATAATATAGACACCACAGACACATAATATAGACAACACAGACACATAATATTGACACCACAGACACATAATATAGACACTACAGACACATAATATAGATACCACAGACACATAATATAGATACCACAGACACATAATATAGACACCACTATAATATAGATACCACAGACACATAATATAGATACCACAGACACATAATATAGACACCACTATAATATAGACACTACAGACACATAATATAGACAACACAGACACATAATATATACACTACAGACACATAATGTAGACAACACAGACACATAGTATAGACACCACAGACACATAATATAGACACCACAGACATATAATATAGATACCACGGACACATAATATAGACACCACAGACACATAATATAGACACCACAGACACATAATATAGATAGACACATAATATAGACACCACAGACACATAATATAGATACCACAGACACATAATATAGACTACACAGACACATAGTATTGACACTACAGACACATAGTATAGACACCACAGACACATAATATAGATACCACAGACACATAATATAGACACCACAGACATATAATATAGATACCACAGACACATAATATAGACACCACAGACACATAATATAGACACTACAGACACATAGAGCAGTCTCTGTTTTCCTGGCAACAATTGGTACGAAATGTAAGTCTTCAAAGCATATCATATTGAAGGAATAAAGATTGGATAAAAACTGTAGCCTCTATCGTGTCTACAAGATATGTGAACGGACGGACAGTGGCGACGGCAATATACGTCTACATTTCCATGTGGTGATTCCAAAAAGAAAAAATAGGCAGCAATAACCAATCACAGAAGACTTTTTGATGGGATCACCAATACCACTAGTAGTACAGCGATTCATTTGATGTATACTGAACTTGGTGTAATAAATTAAGGTATTAAAGGATGGTTTTTGATGTCAAGTTTTATTATTTATTACATTTCCATGTGGGTTATGAAAATGGAACAAAATTTAGGCCTTAAGAAATAAACTCAATTGATCATTATATTTAAAAGATTAGATTTAAAACTATAGTTGCAATAATCCTTGTCACAAAACTTGTTTGATTCTTGTAATAAAGTTCACAACTATCTTTCTCAAACATTGGGTGTAAAATTACAAATTTTGAACTCTTGGGTCAGAAAAGACCTAAAAATTGATATTAAAATTCCACCCAAGGCTGTCCATAAATTTGAGAATGACAACGGATTAATAGATTTTAAAGCAAATTTAAAGAAATTTATAGTAACTTTAGTTAGCTAAATCATTGTAAATCATCTACAACAACAAGCCATAAATTCAGATTCAAGAAGTCTGTTTTCTAAGGCAGTCTAGGGGAATGGGATTTGCAGCCAGTAGAAAATATTGGTTCTTTGCTTTGAACAGATAATTTGACACAATCTTTCTATTCAACATGATTGTTCCAATTTAACATTCCCATGTGGTCGAAGGGAATGAATAGGCTGAAGAACTTTCTCCCTTAGTATTTATTTAGCAAAACCGACTGACATGAACATCTTACCGCTCAACTCAAAATGTGTAGTAAAACGACCGTTACTTGACTGACTGGAAGTTTCTATAGTCATGTTTGGGATGGGGGATGTTGCCTGGTTATGGGAACTGATTGAACCAGACTGAAACTTCTGATATTATAAAGGAACAATATAGCTCTCAAATCCATGGGCATGTTGCGCTATTTTGTCACTGACCACAAATAAATTATTATTAATCTAGATCAATTGATTGGTAGTGTTAGTATGAATAAGAATACTATAATTAATGTACATGAAGAAACATAGTTGTAATGATTATAAAATATGTTTTAAAATATTCTTTCGCTATCAATCACAAATTTGCTTAGTCTCAATTTTAAGGTCTTTTCTGACCCAATTCTGAGAATTCGGAATTTTAAACCGACAAGTACAAAGATAAAGATGTTTTTTTTTTAATTTAATCCTGCTAAAAGATCCCCATCTCAAAGAAAGGGTTAGTAAACATGTAGGAAATTTTGTTGTACACAGTTTCATTTTGCAACTTGTAAAAAAATTGAAGACTCTATCTTTCTCAAATACTCAAGAAAGGATAAGTTGCTTTGTCAGACAATTTCCCAAACAAGTACCAAGTGTTCTCTTTGCATAATAACAATTCACAATTCACAACTTGTCTATGGTGGGTGTAATTATTTCTGGAATAAGTAGGAGGTAGTTAATTTCCTTCATCAACATGAGATAAAATCCACGGCTATCATTACAAAAACTCGCGGGGTGTTAATGATTGTTAACGATATATGAGTAGCAAGTTGGTCTTTTTGTATGATAAAATTCACCACTTGTAAATGATTTGTGTGCAGGACAATTTAAAAGAACAGATGCACCATTGATTCTAGTCTTGAATAGATGTAAAAAGTCTTCAGAAATACTAGAATGGTACCAAAATCGCATGAATTCCTTAAAAAATATATCGAACTAGGAATTCTACTCACTATTTCTATAGATGTCTTTTCTATATATCACAGAGTATCTTAAAATAACAAGTCGTCATTTTAACTTTCAAACATGGATAATTCTCAACACATGGATTTAAAGGCTCAAATTTTCGACGGTGAGCTGTGAACACTTTTATTGATTAGCTTAGCTAAGAAATTCCAGTTTCTGAGACTAAAGTATGATTTGTGAAAAAAAATGATGCATCTGTCCCTTTAAAAAGTAGTAAGTTAACTTCCTCAACATAAGAAAAAAACAAGTAAAAAGTTTTGTTTTTTGTATTTTGTAATAAATTCACAATTCCATCCTGCTAAAGTTCTCCATCATTAAGAATAATCATCATCCTCATCATTATTGGTTTGTGATGAATTTTGAAGTTGTCCGGCCTGTAATGCTTGCTGCATCTGTAGCCATTGCTGTTGTTCCAACTCGGCTTGTTCTTGTCGCGCCTTCGCAAACAATTCTTGTTGTTGTCTTAATAACTCTTCTTCTGGAATGCCAAGATTTTCTAAACGCGAACTACCACGACGTTTTTTAGCCGCGACTGCTTTCGCTTCTGCTAAAACTGCAACAGCTTCTTCTTTATATGCTCCAAAGCCTAGATTATCCAGTGCTGCTAACACATGCTCTGCAGAAATTGTCTTTTTACTTTGTTTGTTACACATATCATTTGCCTCAGACGAAACTAAATGGATAAATTCAGTGCAGCAGTTTAAAATGAGTTCACGAGCATCGTTGGCTACACGGATACTGGGAGTTAACTCCTTTATCATTTTATTCAGAGCTGCGCGAGGAATTTTCAAATCATCATCATCTTTTTTTTCATCTCGATCATCCACATTCGCCATTTTTTAGCTTTATTCAGAAGTTAATGAAAATAAGTGTCTCTGATTTGCAGAACACCCAACTTTTTCTTCACTTTTTTGAAGGAAAAATCTAATCCAATGGCTAACTACACTGAATTTCTTACAAATTTCAATCCAAAAATGTCCCCACGCAATTAGCTACAAAACTAATCTCTCTAAAAACATGAAACATTCATTTAAATTCACATTTTTCAACAAAAATTTTTTCAAAAATACTGAAACTTTGTAAAACTTGTTTATATAGATGTCGCTGTTGGATTCCTAACGTCTTGACGAACTCGACTATTCATTTTGTAGGTCAAATGTTGCAATGTAGTTTCCAGTAGAAAAAGAGACTGGATAATAAAGACAAGGACATTATAAGGTCACCAGCAGGTGGCGCTCGAATCGTTACTGAAGAATTTTATTTTCTCAGTGACTTTTTCACTTTTATTCGTCTAAAATGGCTTTGAATATATCAAAGCACGTTGCTCGGAGGGTTTTAAACCCGCTGTTGTCCAAAAGGTACAGTATTCAAGTATCTAAATTGTGGTTTTTGGTGCTGTATTTTGGGAAAGAAACTGAAGAAGTGTCAGTAATCCTGAGTGAGTCTGTCAGCTCCCAAGATCTCTACTAGCCTAGTACTGGCCACTAAGAACTGACTGTGACAAGGGCATTATAACTTGAGGTGTCAAGTCAGCTGATCTTACATCATCAGGTCATATCTGGATGGGGTTATGGATGGAAACGTGGGGTTGTAGATGGATGGGGGGGGGGGGGGGGGGGCTTTTTATTTGTTTCTTTTGGTTCTGGCTCAAAAGTAATTTTAGTAATGGCAATTAATGCCTACTAGCCTAATCCAAACCACATGATATGGGTAGGCCTATAGACTGCTTTGATGATAGAAATTTAAATAATAACAGCATAACTGATCTTGAAATATTAAAACAAACCTGAAACACGTACAATCTTCAGCTACGGACAACATTCAGCGCCATAAGATGTATTTCACTAATCAAGTTCGCCTTCTTTAAATCACATGCAATGTAGCACAAAGCAAGTAAACCTAGCCATTCTGTCTTCCGACTACTTTCCTGTTAACACCTTGAAGTCTGGTCATGGTTTTCTACATAAAGTCTTACTATTAACCTTGAGTTGTTGTTGATCAACGTGGAACAGGTTATGTCCTAACTAACTGGCGCCAGCCTTGTTTTTGCATTCAAAGACCCTACTTAAATACGGTAACAAGTCATTTTGGCGCCTGATCATTTTGATAAGTAGGCATAGAGATATATTGCTGTTATTTGAACACCAATCGCAATGCTATATTATGTAGAAACATTTTTTATATATCAAATTTGGATTTAATTAACTTACTAACTATGACTCCTAATCACCTTTTGATCATACTGATATTGTTAATCTGTTTCTTTATCTTTGGTTTCTCCCCTTGCTCAGTTAATTGATATGTATGGCTAATTCCGAGCTAAAATGATTAGGAGACTGGAGATAACGGGTTTTATTTAATAGAAACATGTTGAAATGATTTAAAGTGATACTACATCTTAGAATGAACATAAAATTTAATTTTCAAGAATGGTCAATATGAGTATATATTCATCAGCGAACTTACCTGGTGTCATAAAGTTACAACAGAATCCCTGTAAAATCTAGAAAATTGGAAAATTCATAAAACTAATTATTGAAAAACGCTAAATTATAATATTAAGCGTTTTTCAATAGTTGATTGCATATCTATGGATAATTATTAAGTTTTTTGGATTTATTGGATTATATAAGGATCCTGTTATGTTATTTATGACATCAGGTATATCTACTGATGAATATATACTCTTATTGGCCAAGTTTAAATTTTAAAATTTTATTTTTATTCTAAGACGTAGTATTTCTTGTTATCATGCAAAAAATTTGTTATTGGTCACTTTTTTTTATTCATTTTTTCATATTTTGGCATGCTAAGATAAATTTGTTCTATTTTAATAAAATATATGTAGAAAAAGTCTAGATCATAATACCAATACCAATGTGTGATATTTATCAACTTGTGAGTGAATGAACTTCAAATATTGCATGATAAGTTTTTTGTCCTGTCTGTCTTCTATATTATGTTCAAATACATTACAGTATCTAACAGTTGTTTCATTGCCAATTTCAAAGTAAAACAGCAGAACACGATTTTTAAAAGGTATTTTACTCCTGGGTGTTAAAATGTTAGAGATGCAGGTAATTGCCAATTTCAAAATAAAACAGCAGGTCAGAGAATGTGGGTTTAGTTGTTCAGATTGGACAGTAAGCATAGGCCACATTTACTACAGGCTACACTCTTAAAAACATGATAATAATGTATTGGGTTTAGTTGTTCAGATAGAACAATAATCAGAGGTCTCTGTGTGCTAGTTATTCAGATAGAACAATAATCAGAGGTCTCTGTGTGCTAGTTATTCAGATAGAACAATTATCAGAGGCCTCTGTGTGCTAGTTGTTCAGATGGAACAGTAATCAGAGGTCTCTGTGTGCTAGTTATTCAGATAGAACAATAATCAGAGATCTCTGTGTGCTAGTTATTCAGATAGAACAATAATCAGAGCTCTCTGTGTGCTAGTTATTCAGATTGAACAATAATCAGAGGTCTCTGTGTGCTAGTTATTCAGATAGAACAATTATCAGAGGTCTCTGTGTGCTAGTTGTTCAGATGGAACAGTAATCAGAGGTCTCTGTGTGCTAGTTATTCAGATAGAACAATAATCAGAGATCTCTGTGTGCTAGTTATTCAGATAGAACAATAATCAGAGATCTCTGTGTGCTAGTTATTCAGATAGAACAATAATCAGAGGTCTCTGTGTGCTAGTTATTCAGATAGAACAATAATCAGAGGTCTCTGTGTGCTAGTTATTCAGATAGAACAATAATCAGGGGTCTCTGTGTGCTAGTTATTCAGATAGAACAATTATCAGAGGTCTCTGTGTGCTAGTTATTCAGATAGAACAATAATCAGAGGTCTCTGTGTGCTAGTTATTCAGATAGAACAATTATCAGAGGTCTCTATGTGCTAGTTGATCAGATGGAACAGTAATCAGAGGTCTCTGTGTGCTAGTTATTCAGATAGAACAATTATCAGAGGTCTCTGTGTGCTAGTTATTCAGATAGAACAATAATCAGAGGTCTCTGTGTGCTAGTTATTCAGATAGAACAATAATCAGAGATCTCTGTGTGCTAGTTATTCAGATAGAACAATAATCAGAGGTCTCTGTGCTAGTTATTCAGATAGAACAATAATCAGAGGTCTCTGTGTGCTAGTTATTCAGATAGAACAATAATCAGAGGTCTCTGTGTGCTAGTTATTCAGATAGAACAATTATCAGAGGTCTCTGTGTGCTAGTTGTTCAGATGGAACAGTAATCAGAGGTCTCTGTGTGCTAGTTATTCAGATAGAACAATAATCAGAGATCTCTGTGTGCTAGTTATTCAGATAGAACAATAATCAGAGATCTCTGTGTGCTAGTTATTCAGATAGAACAATAAACCAAGGTCTCTGTGTGCTAGTTATTCAGATAGAACAATAATCCAAGGTCTCTGTGTGCTAGTTATTCAGATAGAACAATAATCAGAGGCCCCCATGTGCTAGTTATTCAGATAGAACAATAATCAGAGGTCTCTGTGTGCTAGTTATTCAGATAGAACAATAATCCAAGGTCTCTGTGTGCTAGTTATTCAGATAGAACAATAATCAGAGGCCCCCCTTTTGCTAGTTATTCATATAGAACAATAAACCAAGGTCTCTGTGTGCTAGTTATTCAGATAGAACAATAATCTAAGGTTCCTGTGTGCTAGTTATTCAGATAGAACAATAATCAGAGGCCCCCCTGTGCTAGTTATTCATATAGAACAATAAACCAAGGTCTCTGTGTGCTACAGGCTGTTGTGTGCTTTAATTTTATCATCAGTATTATTATATTCTTATCTAATCTAATTGTTGTCAGCACGCCCACCATGTTACTCTGATTATCAAATTATGTTTCATTGATAAAATGACAGAGTTTTATTGGACACGTCAATAATACATGATATGACAGTTTTTAATTACGGTACATTACATTTCAATCCAGATGTGTACCCCCAATAAGGGCAATAGAGACAAAAAATGTTCATATTTATTTTGTTGTTGTTGAAGTTTGGGGGTGGGGTAGGGCAACTGGTTAGCCACAGTCTTGAAAAATATTTAGCTTTATTTATCCTGCCATTAACTCCTGATTAGCTTTAATTATGGTAATGGAATCAGATTTAACAGAGTAAAAGGTCTATAGTGTTATTGAGTCAGGACAGTATCAGGTCATGACCCTTAACCTCTGACCAATATGATGACAATTATTCCATACTTTATAGTTCTAACCTTGTTATTGTTACACCTTTAATCAAAGATTGACCTTGATCTCATTTACCTTGTTTGAAATTTGGCTTTTATTTTTAATATAGCCACTTCAGTTAGGGTCTTACGACAGTCCATTTCGCCAAATTAACCTTTTGACCTAACTCAATGATGTTAACTCAATGATGTCTGAAGTAGCTATATATTAAAAAATTGGAATTAGAAATTGGTCTGATATTAATAAGACTACAAGATTATCATTGTTTGACCTGATTGATATTTACAAGCTGGTAGAGGTCAGAGATTAGGATTTAGGAATTTGTAATCTGTCCTTGTTTGACCTTTTTACACTAAATTGATTTACTTTATGTGATTTATTTCACCTTCATAGAACTTGCCACTGTACTTGTCACTGATCTGTCATACTGTCTAACTGATTAGCTACTGTTTATATGATATCATGATGTACTGGAAAATGGATAATCTGAGAAAGATCAATACCAAGAGGTTTGGCCAAGGATCAGCTGGTAGAATGGATCCTTAACTGTGAATCCAAGTTGTTATCATTGTAAAATATAGTTGTTTCTTTTCTTTTTTCTTTCTTGATCTCTTTGACAATTGCTGAATGTTCAGCCCTATTCTCTTTCCCCCTTCCCCTATCAAAAAACAACTTTAAACAACATATCTTTATGTTTCTATCTATTACTACAGTTACCAGATTTTGATTTCAATGGAATATTGAGGTGTGAGAAAAGGGGGTGGGGGGAGATCCAACAATGTCTTTTTTGGCTTAAACTGCCGAAAAATCCTAGCCTTATTACAGTTGATTGACCTTGGATTAGAATTCATTGGGATATCAGAATGAAAATAAAGAGATTAAACTTTGAATTTTAGCATAAAGGGACAGGTTCGCCATCCATTTGTTCTTCTGAAGACTATTTACATTGTATTCATGACCAAAATCAGTCTGAAAAATGGTGAATCTTTCCCTTTAAACTGGGAAAAGATCACAACCTTATTGACCTTGAATTATATATTTGATATTTACCTAATCCCCAGTTGACATACTTTATTAGTTGACTCACTTTATTAGTTAACTCACTTCAATGATACCTGTAGGCAGTTTCTTTATAGACAGATGAATTGCTGAGTTGACAATTTGTGTCTAGGCTATGTTTATTATAGAAGTTTTTGTAACATGTACAAGTGTGTTCTCTTGGCCAGCGCTTCTATTGGAGATTATCTGATATAACACCTTACATAAGGGCATATAAAGCTGGTTGTTTCTTATGATGATAAAAAACCCCATTAAAATGCCTTAGAATACACAAATAAGTGGAATCTTCATAGACGAAAATTTTTATTTCCTGAATTGCTGATTCCCAGCACAAAGACGATTGGTCCAGTTGAAGGAACAGCCCCAACCTCCCCTATCAGGGCGGGTTCCCGGCCTGACCAAACCAAGACCGTAGGGATTCAATGCAGTCTCATAAAAATATTTCATTGTCAATTATTAAAGGGACAGGTGTGTCATTTTGGGGGGTTGATTTAGGCCTTGAACATGTAAATGGTCTTCAGAAGTACTAGAAATGTATGAAAATTGCATAATTCCTTCAAAAATATCTCAAACTAGGAATTTTCACTTTCTATATATTATTTTCTATTCGATATGTGGCACAGTGTCAAGAAAAGACGAGTCATTTTAACTTTCAAAAGCGGATAATTTTGTACTAATGTTTGATTGGTCAAACGGATGGCGATCTGATTTGTAATACTGATTAGATTAAACTCAACCAGTTGAAGAAATTTGGGATAATCTGATTGGTTTTTTGTTTCATCAGAAGAATTTTATGATAAAAACTAAATGATTTATATTTCAGTTGTCCTGTGTCGTCTGCTACTCTTCATACCTCCTCCGTCTGTCATGCTACGGAGAAGAAAAAACATCATAAAGATCTCATCAACCATTCTCGAGTTCGAGGAATTGATATTTTACGTAATCCAAAACTCAACAAGGTATTACATTTCATTAATAAAACTCTGGGATCTCTTTTAGAACTTGTCAAATTCTTTTTAATTTTTTAGCAATGCACAATTAAAGTGAAGAGGTATTCAGTAAGACTTAGTTTTTAAGTAGGGCCTATTTCTTTACGTTTCAACGTTTGGGACTACCGACATGATTGTTTACATTGGAGACCGTCATTGGTTAAAATTACTACGCCCAATGTTTTGTTGATCAGGCAATGAATTTGAATATGAATATTTTTCAGGGAACAGCTTTTACCTTAGAAGAGCGTCAGATCATGGGTATTCAAGGTTTGATGCCGGCGGCCATTTTAACACAAGAAGAACAAATGGTTCGAGTCATGACAAATTTCTACAAGAGAAGTAACGATTTAGACCGGTATATTTACCTGATGGCGCTACAGGAAAGAAACGAGAGATTATTTTACCGTGTTTTATGTGAACATACAGAAGAGATGATGCCCATTGTGTATACCCCGACTGTCGGCCAGGCTTGTCAAGAATATGGTGTAACATTTCGAAAACCTAGGTCAGTATCATCTTAAAGAGATTGTAAAGTGGTTTCCTAGATTTTTAAATCTTGTCTGAAATTGATGAAATTTGTGTGAGTCTCTGTAATCACCCAAGGATAAACCCTAATGAAAATAAAGAAATGAATATTTTGTTATTGCCCTTGTTATTGGCAACATGTTGATGAGCCCTATTGAAATTTTTTAACACGAGTTATTGACCTCCTTCTTGAAAATGCATTCAGTTTTTTAGCTCAAACATTAAAAGGCATGATTCATCCCACAAGTTCAAAAGAAGTGTATGACTGAAGGTTGAATATTTCATACTGGTGATTGTTACTGTACTGCTAAATATTTTTATTCAAAATCAAAGCTGCCAGTTGGCATATATTACCTTGCCTGACAAGCTATCTTGTGAAAGAGCCTCTTATTGCAAAGAAAATGATTTTAATATTAGTATAAATTGTATTTTTAGAGGGTTGTTTTTATCGATTAATGATAAAGGACATCTGTTTGAAATGATGTGTAATTGGCCAGAACAAGATGTCAAGGTAAAGATATTTTACTAATCCATGGAAGTAAATTTTGGAGATGATATTTAGAAGGTTTCTCAATTAAAATATCTGAATTAATAATCTATTATTGATAGTCAGTCTGCTGTCAATAATCAGTCTCAAGTAATATTTACAATAGTGGCACAAAAATACCAAAAAAACCATATTCGGTATGTGGACTCTCTGAAAGTTGCCAACTAGTGCCCTTTATATTTCATGTGTCTTGTCTGTGTGGTTTAATTACCTTTAATTTGTTTCATATAAACGACTTTTATTCTTGGGAGAAAATATCACATACATCAACTTTAGTCTCTATTTTCCAGGCTATTGTAGTAACAGATGGGGAGCGTATTTTAGGTCTGGGTGATCTAGTATATTATTTTCTATTATAGTAACAGAAGGGGAGCGTATTTTAGGTCTGGGTGATGGAGTATATTATTTTCTATTTTCCAGGCTATTGTAGTAACAGATGGAGAGCGTATTTTAGGTCTGGGTGATGGAGTATATTATTTTCTATTTTCCAGGCTATTGTAGTAACAGATGGAGAGCGTATTTTAGGTCTGGGTGATCAAGTATATTATTTTCTATTTTCCAGGCTATTGTAGTAACAGATGGAGAGCGTATTTTAGGTCTGGGTGATGGAGTATATTATTTTCTATTTTCCAAGCTATTGTAGTAACAGATGGGGAGCGTATTTTAGGTCTGGGTGATGGAGTATATTATTTTCTGTTTTCCAGGCTATTGTAGTAACAGATGGAGAGCGTATTTTAGGTCTGGGTGATGGAGTATATTATTTTCTAATGTCCAATCTATTGTAGTAACAGATGGGGAGCGTATTTTAAGTCTGGGTGATCAAGTATATTATTTTCTATTTTCCAGGCTATTGTAGTAACAGATGGAGAGCGTATTTTAGGTCTGGGTGATGGAGTATATTATTTTCTATTTTCCAAGCTATTGTAGTAACAGATGGGGAGCGTATTTTAGGTCTGGGTGATCAAGTATATTATTTTCTATTTTCCAGGCTATTGTAGTAACAGATGGAGAGCGTATTTTAGGTCTGGGTGATCTAGGATCCTATGGTATGGGTATACCAGTTGGTAAACTGTCGCTGTATACGGCTCTCGGTGGAATCGTACCAGAACAATGTTTACCGATTTTACTGGACGTTGGCACCAATAATGAGGTCAGTTTTCCCTAAATTTGTGCAATGAGGGAAATTTTTCCAAGACAGCATCATCTACTTACCCTGTTTCAATTCAAATTTGTGAAGGGATCAATATTTTGTACAGCCTGCAGCATCTTTACTGTTCTTTTTGACCGACTAGACGCTTTTTCCATGTCAGCCCCTCGACCTGTATCACTGACAACAAAACAAAGGGAAAAACCAAGAAAGAAACAATTAGTTATTCCAAGGAAAACAACTTAGGTTCACAGTTAAGGATTCTTTCTACCAGCTGGTCCTTGACCAAACCTCTTGGTATTGATTTTACAAGGATTATCTGTACCCATTTACAGCTGGGTCAACTGGAATAAAAGAATTTATGTTACTATTTTGACCTCATATAAACTATTACCTAATTTTTGATTTTCTAGAAATTACTGAATGACCCTCTGTATATTGGGTTAAAACGACCCAGGGTCAAAGGTCAGGAGTATGATGATTTCGTGGAAGAATTTATGACGTCTGCAGTCAGAAAGTGAGTTGGAATTTCTTTGATCTTAAATACTGTCTCTATTTACCATATATGGTTTTAGTGGATGATTCGATGAAATGTTTTACCTTGGAAGTTATTAAAGAGATTGTAAAGAGGTTTTCTTAATTTTCAATCAGACCTCTGTGGCCTTTGCAATTCCACTATCACGAAAAATGTTATTGATTTATAAGGACGTTTGCTATGGTGATATAATAAAGTGCATAATTAATGTGAAATGGTACAAATTGATGCTATCAATGTCCCTTTTACACATACAAAACTTAGAAAACCTCTTTACAATCTATTTAATGTATGTAGGGGCTTAATTATCGTTGTTGGGCCTTTCCCAAATTTACATTCCATCTAAAAAAATATGTCCCGTCTTCAATTCACAGGTTTACAAAAAAATGAGCCGTATATAAAATAATTCTAAAATTAAAAATGGGAGGGTGTAGGCCAGTCCAGGCTAGGTCAGCCTTAATTCCAGAATGGGCATGGTCTGCCTGTAAAACTACCACTGTCTTTAATAACTGTCTATGTATTTCTTTGTTTATCTTATAAATCTCTCCAGAAGTAGGTAATTTTCTATCAAATTGATGTATTCCAATGCTGTAATTGACAGTCTCTACTTGTGACCTAGGCCAGTGCTTCTATAAGAGAGTTTCTCTTATAAAACCTTATACAACTGTCATCTCCAATCTTTACAGGTATGGTCAGAATTGTTTGATACAGTTTGAAGATTTCGGTAACCACAATGCATTCCGTTTCCTGGAGAAATATCGTGATAGATATTGTACGTTTAATGATGATATTCAAGGTGAGGTCAAGGTCATTCTAGATGTTCAGGTTCGACTATCTGATTATGTATGTGTGTTGACAACAGGATGCTGAGACATGTGTCTAGAATTATCCACATTTGAATTTTAAAATGACGAATTATCTTTTTTTGAAACTCGGCCATTTACTCAAAAGACATAAATAATAGAAAGCGAAATTCCCAGTTTGAGGTATATGTGAAGGAATTATGTGATTTTCGAACATTTTCAGTATTTCTGAAGACTATTTACATATATTCAAGACTCAAATCAACACCTGAATGGTGAACCGTGGACTCTGAGTGTTTTTAGGTTTTTTGCTCCATTAATTGGTATATTATACAGTACTAAAACATTTAGAAGTATCACTACACAGTAAAAACAACAATATTTATAAACAATAGAAGTCTATATAATGATACTGTTTGTATTAATCAGGTTTATTTCCAGTGTTGTATTAATTTAATAGAATATATTTGTAATAGGTACAGCTTCAGTGGCTGCTGCTGGTGTTTTTGCAGCGTTAAGAATAACAGGGAAGAAATTATCAGATAATGTTTTTGTCTTTCAAGGAGCTGGTGAGGTATGTCTCTATTAATATTTCAAATATTACACTTACAAACATATTACACTTACAAACATTGGACACTTACAAACATATTACACTTACAAACATTGGACACTTACAAACATTGGACACTTACAAAGATATTACACTTACAAACATTGGACACTTACAAACATATTACACTTACAAACATGGGACACTTACAAACATATTACACTTACAAACATATTACACTTACAAAAATATTACACTTACAAACATGTTACACTTACAAACATGTTACACTTACAAACATATTACACTTACAAACATATTACACTTACAAACATGTTACACTTACAAACATATTACACTTACAAACATATTACACTTACAAACATAATGTTACACTTACAAACATATTACACTTACAAACATATTACACTTACAAACATAATGTTACACTTACAAACATATTACACTTACAAACATTGGACACTTTTACTTAACTTAAAGAGATTGTAAAGAGGTTTTCTTAATTTTCACCAATTTGCCCCAGTCCAATTTTCAACCAGACGTCTGTGGTTCCTGTAATTTCACTAAAACTAGGTTTTTGAAGACTCACTTATTGCAAAATATGCTTTACCACATGAGGAACTTCTTGATTAGTGACGTCATCAAACACTTAGTTTTAGTGGAATTGTAGGAACCACAGACGTCTAACTGAAAATCAGAATAGAACAAATTGATTCTATCAGTGTCCCTGATACACATAAAAATTTTAGAAAACCTGTTTACAATGACTTTAACTAAGCTAATCAGCACTTTGAGATGAAGAGTTCTTTTTTCAGGCCAATGCCTTTGCTTTGTTTTCATTTCACACTTCGTAGGGATCAATGTCAAGCTGATATTTGATTATTTAAGATGTAAACGTTGGTATCACTAGTATTATTATTGGTGTGTAAACACAGTTGATCATGTGACAAAATGAACACAGTTTGCGTAACTGTTATATAGAAGAGAGAATGATGATAGAAATAGAAATATATTTTTGTTACTTTCTATAATTTCTAGGCGTCTATAGGTATCGCTCAGTTGATAGCTTTAGCAATGGAAGAAGAAGGAACGAGTACAGAAGAAGCTAGGAGTAAAATTTGGATGGTCGATTCTCGAGGCTTAATAGTGAAAGTGAGTTTTAGTTTTATATCTTTTTATCACCTGGTCTGGGGCAGAGGAGGCTTATCAGTGAGTTAGACACTTGCTCTCCAGGTTTTAATTCTAGCATAGGTTGAATTACAGTTTCAGATTTATTTTTCCTTCTGTCTTGGGGGGAGGGGCCTGCTCAGTGAGTTGGACACTTACTCCCCAGCCTGTAAGTCAAGGGTTTTCTCTGAGTAAATAGTGAAAATGAGTAAGACTTATTAGTTTGATATCTTTTTATCACCTGGTCTGGAGCAGAGGAGGCTTCTCAGTGAGTTAGGCACTTGGTCTCCAGGGTTTAATCCTAGCATAGGTCTAGCATAATCTGGTTTCCCTGTCAGTGATGCAGGTAACAGTAACTGATATGGAAGAAAACATCTAGTTGTTCGGTTGGGATAATAATCTGATGTCCCCATGTTCTACAGGCTGCACCATTCTGAAATCAAACTACCCATAGACAGACACAATTTCCTTCATTGCACAATCCCTGGTGTTGTCTTATCGTGAGGCAGAATAGAAAATTATTTAGCATGTATAATGGCATTTTATTTCAATTTTTCTCAACAAAAGAAAAAGGTTTTATATGTCTTGAAGTAAATTCATTGTTATAACGAAACTATATGATTATTGTAGAATCGTCCTAAAGGTGGCGTTAGTGGTCATAAAGTAGATTTCGCGAAGGATCATGAACCTGTAGATAAACTAGAAGACGTTGTTAGTAAACTGAAACCAACTGTTTTAATAGGTAAGCTTTTTTTAGTGTTTTTGATTATATTCTTGCTAGCTAACTAAGAGTCCATTAAGGCTTAGGTCCAGACAATGGGTGATCTCAGGGTTGGTGTTGGAGTTGGTGTTAATTAAGAGTCTGGAACACTGAGTTAAGTTAACACCCGGTCCCGTATTCTCAAAACAATCTTAGCGCTAGGATGTCCTAGGATCTTATCATCTAACATTGATTTTAGAATATCCTAGGTTCTTATCTTCTAACATTGATTCTAGGATATCCTAGGTTCTTATCTTCTAACATCGATTCTAGGATATCCTAGGACCTTATCATCTAACATTGATTCTAAGATGTCCTAGGTTCTTATCATCTAACATTGATTCTAGGATATCCTAGGTTCTTATCATCTAACATTGATTCTAGGATGTCCTAGGACCTTATCATCTAACATTGATTTTAGGATATCCTAGGTTCTTATCTTCTAACATTGATTCTAGGATATCCTAGGGTCTTATCTTCTAACATTGATTCTAGGATATCCTAGGTTCTTATCATCTAACATTGATTCTAGGATATCCTAGGTTCTTATCATCTAACATTGATTCTAGGATGTCCTAGGACCTTATCATCTAACATTGATTTTAGGATATCCTAGGTTCTTATCTTCTAACATTGATTCTAGGATATCCTAGGTTCTTATCTTCTAACATTGATTCTAGGATATCCTAGGTTCTTATCTTCTAACATTGATTCTAGGATATCCTAGGTTCTTCTCTTCTAACATTGATTCTAGGATATCCTAGGTTCTTATCTTCTAACATCGATTCTAGGACATCTGAACGCTAAGATTGTTTTAAGAATACGGGGCCAGGTGTTCATGGGCAGTGTTTATCTGGAGGTAAAAACACCAGGTCAATGTCAGCACTGGGAAGTCCCTATTTCTTATTCTTGCTGCTTTGATTTTTTTGTGTCTTGTTTCTCCACTTGATTAACGTACTGGTTAAAGGTCCTTATTTAATGTGTAGCTCAACAGCAGACAGGAGATGGTGTCAGGTCAACACTTTGAAATGGGAATACAACGAACACTGCTGGTTGGTTTCAAAGTTTTTGTGGAATTAGGTGTAAGTGTCAACACCCATCACCAACTTTGAAATCACCCAATGTTTTCTGATCTGGTCAGTACAACAAGTGGAGAAGCAAAAAGTAGAAACTGGATCAGAATTGACATAAAACTACATATTAATTTATTTCTGATTATCCAGGAGCTGCGGCAGTGCCAGGAGCCTTTACCACAAAGATATTAAAAGAAATGGGAGAATTTAACAAGAGACCAGTGATATTTGCCCTCAGTAATCCAACTAGTATGTCTGAATGTACAGCAGAACAGGCCTACCAGGCTACAGAGGTAAGTGGACAGGGGTGGTACAGTTTGGGGCAGACCGACTTCATTGGGGACATCTGTTGGGATTGAGATTCTAAATAAAAAAGGACTGTGAAAGTGTAACGCTGCCAGAAAATTTTTTAAAAAATACAATTGAATTTATGCATTCTGATGTCTAGGGAGAAATTGTTTATTAGAAATGAAGAGGTTCAAGTTTTTTATCTGCAAACCAGATGTAATATGAAATCTTATTCTTCCAGGGAAGATGTGTGTTTGCCAGTGGTAGTCCTTTCTCTCCAGTCCAGTTAAATGGTAAACTCTATCATCCAGGACAGGGTAATAACGCCTATATATTCCCCGGAGTAGCGTTGGGTATCATTGCTTGCGGAGTTCGACATGTAGAAGATAAAATATTTTTACACTCTGCCAAGGTACCGTCTAATTTTCTTATGTTTATTTATTTCTTATGATATATTACTTGCCCCTCCAGATATATTACTTGCCCCTCCAGGTATATTACTAGCCCCTCTGGATATATTACTTGCCCCTCTGGATATATTACTAGCCCCTCTAGATATATTACTTGCCCCTCTGGATATATTACTAGCCCCTCTAGATATATTACTAGCCCCTCTGGATATATTACTTGCCCCTCTAGATATATTACTAGCCCCTCTGGATATATTACTAGCCCCTCTAGATATATTACTTGCCCCTCCAGATATATTACTTGCCCCTCCAGGTATATTACTAGCCCCTCTCAATATATTACTTGCCCCTCTGGATATATTACTTGCCCCTCTGGATATATTACTTGCCCCTCTGGATATATTACTAGCCCCTCTGAATATATTACTAGCCCCTCTAGATATGTTACTAGCCCTTCTGGATATGTTACTAGCCCCTCTGAATATATTACTAGCCCCTCTAGATATATTACTAGCCCCTCTGAATATATTACTAGCCCCTCTAGATATATTACTAGCCCCCCTGGATATATTACTTGCCCCTCTGGATATATTACTAGCCCCTCTAGATATATTACTAGCCCCTCTGGATATATTACTTGCCCCTCCAGATATATTACTAGCCCCTCTAGATATATTATTTGCCCCTCTAGATATATTACTAGCCCCTCTAGATATATTACTAGCCCCTCTAGATATATTACTAGTCCCTCTAGATATATTATTTGCCCCTCTAGATATATTACTAGCCCCTCTAGATATATTATTTGCCCCTCTAGATATATTACTAGCCCCTCTAGATATATTACTAGCCCCTCTGGATATATTACTAGCCCCTCTGGATATATTACTTGCCCCTCTAGATATATTACTAGCCCCTCTAGATATATTACTAGCCTCTCTAGATATATTACTAGCCCCTCTAGATATATTACTAGCCCCTCTAGATATATTACTAGCCCCTCTAGATATATTACTAGCCCCTCTAGATATATTACTAGCCCCTCTAGATATATTACTAGCCTCTCTAGATATATTACTAGCCCCTCTGGATATATTACTAGCCCCTCTAGATATATTACTAGCCTCTCTAGATATATTACTAGCCCCTCTGGATATATTACTAGCCCCTCTAGATATATTATTTGCCCCTCTGAACAAACAAGTCTGGCTACAGGATAAAACAGCAGACATCTTACCTCTATTTGCTGGTAAATTTCTGATCATTAACCCTTTGAACTCTGAGTGTTTTAATGAAATAAAACATATACCCTGAACTCCAAGTAATAAAAGTTGAATTGTATGACGTTAACATCGTGTGACATCACTTAGTAATGGTAAACCGAATGCTTAGGTATTTTTCGCATATATCTGCCAGGGATGAAAGGGTTAATAGAGACTTGGTCTTACATCTGGATATCTTGCTTAAACTTTGTTTAAATATTAAACACTATAGTTATTAAGTATATTATCTAGATGAATAGTTGAAACTCAATTTGATGGATGTGGTTAATTCTTCTAATTTTCTATGAACTGTGAACACTCTACAGACTGGTTGTGTTTGTTAAAGATCCATCTACAGCTATAAAGGAAACTAATGCTCCTGTTCTGTCAAAATTTCCCTCATAGCACACTGCATGGCATTGTCTGATTCTATTATCTTATTTTTGAGTATAAGAATAGGTTAAAGTGTCCTTTCAATTGATAAAAATACCAAACTTTTATTGTTGTTTATAAACAAGTTATGTTTAATGAAATATTTATTTTAAATTCCAGGCTTTAGCTGATATGGTAACACAGGAAAATCTTGACGAAGGCCGAGTTTATCCCCCGTTAAACTTAATACGTGAAGTTTCAGTTCAAATAGCTACTAAATTAGCAGAAGACGTATATCGCGAGGGTCTTGCTACAACGTATCCTGAACCTGCAAATAAAGAGGAATTTATTCGCTCCCATATTTATGAACCTGATTACGAATGTTTCGTTCCTGAAACTTGGCCATGGCCACAGAATTAGAAATTTAGTAATAATTTAGGTTTTATTTTATGATATCTATATTTGAAACTCTCCACTGTAAAATCATTAATGATATATTTTCTGTGGCCTATATCTAGGTTTCAGAATTTTATCTATTCTGTTTAGTTTTATGGTGGAATGTTTTTGTTTTGTAAATCTGGGTCCTTGTGTTGTGAAATTATTGTCAATTCAGCTCAGAGTAAGTTAGGTAGACAGAAAACTTTAAAACTTTGGTTGTTATTCCTAAAGATTAGAGGCATTTTTATTATTTAGTTGTCTGGATCTTGGAGAACTTCAGGTGTCCTGACTTCATAGTGATCACTAGTTGTGATTGGTTGTGTCAATTCAGCTCAGAGTAAGTTAGGTAGACAGAATTCTTAAAAACTTTGGTTGTTATTCCTAAAGATTAGAGGTATTTTTATTATTTAGTTGTCTAGATCTTGGAGAACTTCAGGTGCCCTGACACTATAGTGATTACTAGTTGTGTTTGGTTGTGAAAAATTAAATCTTGAGTTCTGAATGTAACTACAATTTGGTTTTATTAAAGAGGTGTTAAAACTTATGACTGCTATTCACGTTATGATATCTGGGCACCTGAAGTTGTTTTTAGTTAAAAATAAAGGCATTTTTCTTTTAATTTTTACTTTTTTACATTTATTTGTCAGTTGTGAGTTTGAGATTCAATCAAGCATTTTGAAAAACGAAAAATCAAAAGTGAAAATCAAATTCAAATGCTATATTATTATTTTCTTACTGAACATATCATATTAAAATATAAAGTTTAGATTAGTATACGATGTTTTTATAATATTATAGCGAACAAAACAATGTTGATATATTTATTAGAATGAAATTAGAATTAGAGTGCTATCTTTTAGTTTGTGCCATCACTATGGTAATTAATATTTTATAAAATGTGTTGTGTTTAATATTATTTTCGTTACGAGTGCTATATTATTAAAGTCCAGCAGTGATATTGTACACTGAAAACTGATTATAAACATTGACACGAGCTTAAAGAAACTATATCTTTGAGATTAACAATAAAATTGAGTCTATGTTTATAATCAGACCTGCTTGAGTACAAATATTATTGTTGTTATTTTAATGTTTTGTTTTGTTATAGACTCATGTTTATTTTTAGTCTCCAATGTAAAGTTTCTACCTGAAAATTATTCTTAACTTTAAACACGAGTAGTCCATTTAATATCTAGGTACAATAAATAATAAAAACAATAGACAGACTAAACTAGTAACATTGTGTTAATTTTTACTTATTTTACCTGAATATAACCCCTTCATAGTGACGGTTTAAATTATCATCCTTTGTGAACAATATTTTTGTTGTTATTTTAATATTTTATTTTCTTCTCTACACCAGTATCGTTATTTTATTTGTTAAATTTAGTTTTTGTTAATTCTGATTGGTAATATCTAAAACTAAAAACTAATTTCTTCAGAATTTCTGTAGTCAATTTTACCCGAGTGTGATTTATCTCTGGAATTTTCACCTAAGATTTTTTTTTGAGGTGTAAAGCTCATTACTGGACTGATAATTGATAACAAAATAAGAAAATTAATTAATCTTATTACTAATTGATTTAATTAATATTAATGAATTGATAATTTAAAATCTTGTGTATGGAATTTTGGAACTTTTTGTTTTTTTAACTATTAAAATTCATGACTAGTTTTTGTCCATTTCCTAAAAGACTCTTTTTTTTATTTTTAAAAATGTACACTCTGCATAATATTTTTGATTTGGATTTTATTTTATTAAACTATTGTATGTGTGTTTATATCTCTATGATCTATTTAGATCTAATAAGAGATTCAACAGGTTTTTAAATCTTCTCTAAACTTTGTTTGTACCATGATACTTCTTCAAAATAATATCTATAGAAACATCTAAATCCTAACACCCAACATTGGACTGTATCTTGAAACTTGTTATTTATATATTAACATAAACTCTATAGAAACATCTTTTCTCTTATTTAGTATATACTTATTCCTCAAAACTTTTTATGTGCCATGATACAAAATATTGACTTGTTCAGATAAATTTATAATTACTATAGAATTTGAGAATTGGTTCCCAATCACAGTCGTGCGGAATCACCAGATTAACGGTTAAAATAGTAAATATTCCATTCCCAGTAAAAAGCGTGTGGATATCCGGGTTTCCAGATTATCAGCAACCGGATAAACGCGCCTCCACTGTATACTCTTCTCAAATCTCAAAACTTTTAATATGCCAAGCTACATGATATTGACTTGTTACATTAAATTCTATAGAATCATCTAAATTTTCTTTCTTTTATTTTGTCTATTTCCGTGACTGACGGTGAATATTCTGTTTGTAACTTGTAATTTCTCTGTAAAAGTAAATTCTGTTGTAATATGTCATTGTTTACTCTTTCCTATCTAACATGTTGATTATATTAATACTATTAAAACACTATTATATTGTAATCTTCCTACTTCTATATTTCTTATAAACAATATATTAATATTAGTTTTAGTTAGTGAAGTCTAAAGTTTTTGTATATTTATTATTAATGTAATTAAACTGGTTGTGTTTTAACGAACTAATAGAAAATCTTTATTGTACGGTGAAATCATGAATTTTTTGTGGGCTTCAAATTTTGTGAATTTGTCATTATGATAATGTTTGTAGACGAAAATTCCTATTTTTTTTTTCAAATATTTTTGTAAATTTCGTGCAGATATGAATGAAACGAATGTCTAAACCACAAAAACAAAAAATTTGAGCCCCACCATAGATAATTAAAATAGGGTTCATGACCCCACAAGAATTGCCATTTTTCAGTATATTTTGTATTATTAATGTAGTTTCTAGTATACTTTCCATGTTCAACTTTTTTCTATTTTTCAATTCTCAATATTTATTATATTGTAGATACTAGATGAAATTCTGGGTCAGGTAGTCTCTCTCATCCAGTTCTACATTGTCTGTATATACAGGAGAGGTCTGGGTGTTAGAGACTATGGATCAGGACATAGACAAATAGGTCCCCTGTTCACTAAATTAAGCACTTTTCACTTATAATTATTTTAACATTGCGTTAACCTGTCACCATAAGTTAATTTATTTATATAAGTTTTAAGTTAGTGTTGGGTGTTATAGAAGATATTCTCCTATAGAAGCACTGACCAATGTAAATTCTGAAAAGACTGAGATAATACCATGCTTACAAATACTCAAAAAAATTGTTTAAAACACATAATACAATATAATAATGTTAGTAAAATATACTCACTAAAGTTAAAGTAACTATTCGAATGAGGTTCACACTTGTTTGATTTGCTCATATGCCTTAGTTCTCTAGTAGAAAATTATCTCCCATTTCCAAAATGAACTGTACTGATGAGGATTGTGTATCTGAAACGTGACAGCAGTTTGTGATGAACTCTAGTAGATGTGTAGTGAGTTTCATTGTGGAAATGATAACATAAAATTTCCCACAGAATCATCAGTAAAGAGCAATAGTAGAAACTTAATACATGTAATCTTAGAAATAAGATATGTTAGAAGGCTCCTACTGCTGTGAAATCTATTTGTCTATGCCTGGGCCAGTGTTTTTGGAGTCAGTATATAATGATATTGTATATTATGCAATGTAACAGTGATATTGTAAAGTCTATTAGCTCTATATTTATAGAAACAAGTTTCAGATTGGGATTTTGAATGAAATCTGCTCTGAGTTTAGTTTGAAAATGTTATAATGCTTCTGGTGTTTTTTGTTTTAAGTCAGTTGAATGACTTGTTATATAACATTATGATATCTTTATCAGACAGTACAATCTATAAAGGTTTTGTCTTTAACTTTACAAGGGTTATTCTGTTTTAACAAGTATAACAATGATTCATATTTTAACTTGCTATCTCAATAAAGAGTTGAGGTGTTATATAACAATTGATAAAAACTGATTTTAAAATGAAAAACAGACAACTGAATATCAAGATGAATTGATAGAAAAATAGATATATGCAATAAAATCTAGAACAACGTAACAAATTGTGTTTTTATTGATATCCTGTCAGTTTAGTTGTTTGTATGACAAGGACTTCCTAACCCTTTATATCCTCCAGGTTGGCTCCCCACCAATCTCATTAAAGCTAGATTACAAATTCATTTGTTTCTTGTTACAAAACACGAAATGAAATTGTCATCTAAGTTTGATTGGATTGGCTTTATGATGCAAAATACGTCTTTATCCAGAAACGATGTTCTGAATATTCAGAGAAACAAAAATAAATATTCAAAATAATTTTAATGAAGCAAAACTTAAAAATAACAAAATAAAAACAAAACAGGTGATCTGGGACTTAGTTGAATAATTAGAGAGAGATGATTATAGATTCTGTTAATGGTTGAGATGTAGAGATTGACAAGTTAACGTGTCCAGTGTGGAATTATTAAACCTTTATAAACCTATAGTGATGCTATCATATTATTATCTCTGGATTTTAAACATTACAATATCCCACGCATTCTATATCTACAATCACCCTGACTTATAACATTTAAATACCTTTACTCACTGGTTGTCAATGACCAAATTCCAACTTTCACCCCTTATCATATTTTTATAACTTTCCAAACTAATAGAAAAACAAAACAATTGATTCCTTGTTGGTTTATAAACACTTTCTATCTGTAAACCTTGGGAAGCAGGTTTAAATATCATACAAGGTTTTTATTTTCTTCATAATTCCACACTGTATATAGTTGACTTTATAAATTAACATAATACTGTTTTCTTACAATAAATAAATACACAAATAAATAATAGACTTATTAGATATGAGATAGGACGGACCATCGTGACTAACCTTAAAAACACTTAAATATCAATTATATTCCACTCCATAACAGTTACACTTCAAATATTACATTAAAAATTAGAGTTCAATACATCAATTATAGAGATGTTAGTGATCACTGAATTTATTTCCCTAACTTCTAAGAAGTTCAGGCAGCGAGGCGTTTCGCGATTCTTATCCAGAATAGAAATAAATCTGCAACACAGTTCTATTTCTGATAGTCTTACATCTCTTCAATTGTAGACAAACATTTAACATATAATTTATAATATTGAAAAGTTGAAATTAAACACTTGTTTGTTAACCAAAATATTTGATGATTTAATTCATTTAGAATAAAACAATAAGATTAATATTCCTGAAGATCTATCAGTAGGTAAATCAGATATTAACAAGACAATGTATATATTATTCAAAAAATAACTTTTAATGACAAGAATAAGTTAAATTATTTATGAAAATATTTATATAATATCTTGATGAGTTGAAATTTAAATAGGCACTTGTTCAAACTTGAGGTACAGACTAAATTCATTTTAGACCAAACTTTCCTTCTGTTTTATATAGCTTTTATTTTTAATATAGCCACTTCAGTTAGGGTCTAACGACAGCCCTCTTAATTAAATGTTAGTCAAATTAAGCTTTTGACCTATCTCTTGACGTCTGCTTTAACCAATCAAATTTCTACCCTTTCAGCGCTGACATTTTTTTATCAGTTTAGGTAAAAAGGTTAATTTGACAAACATTTAAGACGGTCAGTCTTTAGATCCTAACTGAAGTGGCTACATTAAAAATAAAAACTAATAACAAATTGAAGGAAAGTTTGGTCTAATATTAATTATAATTAAACTTCTTGAGGTATTAGATAATATTGCAAATACTTGTTTTAAAAAAAATGTCACAGAAAAATAATAATTAATGATAATATCTAGATAAAAATGCAATGAGAGTACCCTATATATAGTCTTAATTAGTGAAGGCACAAAAATATATCTAGTCCAAGACTTGTCTATGCTAAATTGGTTTGTGGTGACAGATGTCAGTATGATAGAGTTGGAAAAACATAACCTGATATGCTGTGAATGAAATTTAAAGTTTTCCCCTCAAGCTTACAGTAAGCTGTTTACCCAATAGTTTTTTTGAATCTAGCTTCCTGACATCTGTCCACAAATAATGATCATAGTTCTAGAAGAACAGCAAGTATCAGACCAAGTTTGATCTCGAATTATTAGAAAATTTAAATCATCTGGGATAAGTTAAAAAATAAAACTAAATCACACAAAAATAAATAACAAAATTCTTCAGAAAAAGCCATGCCAAGCTAATTTCTTGAAAGAAAATAGTGGTCTAAATATTTATCAGCAGATAGAACTTATTTTACAGTTTCTTGGTACATATATAATTTTCAGACAATCTTTCTGCTGAAAATGATCTGGAAAAAAATCGAAATAGAAACAGTGGAAGTAAATATTCAGATAACTCTATAGATAGCTGATAGAATCCAGATTGAGGCTGGTAAATATTTAGACTACTCTTTCCCTCAAAACAACAAAACAAAACAAAAACCAAACAAAACCAAAACAACCATCACCAATAAGACGGATTTTAAAAAATAATGGAACTAATTTTGAGGCATATTTATAAAATAATCATCATAAGTTATTTAGAATTACTTTTAAATATTTAATTTTAATTTTATAAATATGCCTCATGCCATTTTGACAGTTTACAAACATTAACATAAAGAATCAAAAAATATCATTTGTTTAAAAATAGATAAAGATTTTGTGAAAACTTTTGCAAGGAAAAAAATGTACATATATTGTTTGCAAGATGTCAGTAATTTTATACAGAGTTGTCTCTCTTGATTCCCAATGTCTTTGTCGTTAACATAGTTAGTCTTTAATAACGCTGCCATGTTACCAAGAGAAGACAACTGTGTATGGAATCAACAAGAGAAGACAACTGTGTATGGAATCAACAAGAGAAGACAACTGTGTATGGAATCAACAAGAGAAGACAAATGTGTATGGAATCAACAAGAGAAGACAACTGTGTATGGAATCAACAAGAGAAGGAATTTGTAGAAGGAATGATCACAAGGTTTTACAGATTTGAGCAATAGATTCACTATAATTAACTGTCAGAATATTTCAGAATCTCAACACTTTAAAACACATCATTCTAGTGTCTGAATGTCTGAACCTTATCTCAAAAAAATACTTCCAACTTTATCAACAACTTCACTTTTAAAAACCCTTTAAACACTGAGTGTAAATAAAATAACATTTCATATACCCTGAACTTCAAGTAAAATAATTTAAACTTATAATGTTATATGATGTCATTTAATAACAGGTACTTTACCAGCTGCTCAGATAAAATAATTCCAAGTTTGATTTTCTCTTAAAAGATATAATCAAATATTTAACTAACTATGCAGACGGAAGATCAGTTGATAGTGTTGAAGAGATTAAATTTACCAGAATCCACACAGAAACTTAAAATTGTTCCAGTTTTCATAATTCAAACTAGAAATTCAAGATTTGGTGTAAATCCCATGGTTTATCATTATACTCCTTGGAACAGAATGCTCCATTTTCAAAATTCAAATTTATAATAAACACAAATATCTGGAAGAATGTTAGACTGCGTTAGATTCAAATCTTGAGATATGAAATTTTCATTAAACCACGGAAATACTGATCCAGTTTTCATAAGAGTGAAATTTCATATAACATATCTCAAAATTTCCACTCAAAATCTAAAGTTTTACTTTGGCTCAAATTTTCAACCAACTTTCAAAAAAGTTTCAGAAATTCTTCAAATCTTCAAAATATGGCCACAATCATTGTGCTTTTCTCACAAAATTTCACAGCTTTATAATTTTGGCTAAATTTTTCTTAAACTTTTTATGTTTTGGACTTATATTTGGCACGAATTTGTAGGAATTTTTTATCGATAGCATCATCTAGAATGTTGTCTTGACTACCAGTTCGTCGAAACTCGAAGATTTGTTGAGGAGCATGGGTGACGAGGTAATGTTCTAACGTATCCCAGCCTCCCCCAACTCGAACCATCAGATGTTTACCCTGTAATAACTGAAATGAAATAGATAGAAACCATGGTTCAACATTTTGGGGTTTTGATTTGAGTAGTGAATATGTGTAAATAATCTTAGAGCTGAATGAAAATTGCATATCGACCCTGAAGTCATCACAATTAGTCACTAATCATCAGTCATATCTCATTCACCAGTCCTAGATGAGTTTTTTTCAACTAGTAGAAACTTATGGAAGTATTTGTAGTTTGTAATTGTAAAATAAAAACATGGTGCTCACTACTTTTTTCTAGCATAGCTTTCTGGACAGTTAAGTTTAAGGGTTCTAAATAGAAAGTTTCCTTTACTGATTTTGAATCAACAATCAAGCTTTTATCATGTATAGAATATGTGGTATTAGAATATTAGTGGCTTTTAGCATCATAAATTAAATATCTTTATTGGACAGTTAATACATTCAAGTATATTCTGTATAATATATGTAATATATATATATAATTATATAGTTAATAACTGAATACCACATTGATTAGTTTACATACCAGTTGAAATCTGTCACATTGTTTTCAACTAGTCAGTCACAATCTACTGGAGTCAGTCATAATTTCATTTGTTACTTACTTTGGGGTCTAATCGCATAATTTCTTACAAAAATATCTCAATCTAGGAATTTCTTTTGCTATTTTTACTTACCCTAATGAAGACAATACGCCCAAATATACTGTAGACCCCTTCTCTGATTCTTTTAACATACGGTAAACATCCACAACGTGTTGCCACCCTTTTTACCTGTAAATATAAAATGATCAATTAATAAACATTTAATTATGAAGATTTTTAGCCAAATTCTTTTGAAATTTTTTTTTCTTATTTTCAAAATTTTTAGTCTAAATTGAATCCTGAAACCTAAATAATTTAAAGGGGCTTTTTAACCATTTTATGTGTATCATTTCATTTTCACTACCACAAACATCTAACATCATTTTACAATAGTGACGTCATAAAATGCTTAGAAAACTTCCCTGTAAGTACTGAAATCTTACCTTTACATCCAAACCTTCAGGTTTTTTACCAGTTGTACCGTTAGTAATTTTAGGTTTCTCAACAATCTCGGTCTGTTTCTGTTCTGTTTCAATCTCTTTCTCTAGTTTTATCAAGGTAGGAGGTTCCAACCCAAATTTATACCCCACCCTCGCCAATTCCATCAAACATACTATAATAGGCTTCTCTTGTTTATGAGCAACTGAAAAAATAAATTTTATTATGTCAAGGGCAATAACTCAATAACAGTTAATCTAAACACTGACATCTGTGAACTCTAACAATTTATAACAATTAAAACAGATAATTTATAAAGGTCTGTACTGGACAATATCTTATAATAAATTAGACTGGTCATGTTTATGATTTGAAGGGTTCTGTACTAAATGAGCGGTCTTGATCAACGAGTTTTGTCACTGACTCGAGTTTTGTCATGAATTTCGGGCATGCGCACGCAAAATCTCCAGTCGGTCATTTTCCACCATAATCACGTGCGGAGCATGCAATTGAAAGGAAAAGGAATCTGATTGGATAATGACGGTCTGTCTTGCAGACGATTAAACAATCGGAGACAATTATCAAACTTGTTTGATACGATACATCCTGTCGGCGACACGATAATTTTGTCATGGAAGCACGGGCACGGGCAAGATTTTACTCAAGATTCTTGCCGTGCTATAAAAATAGTAAGAATTGTTCAATCATGATTTGAATCGTTCTGAAATGAGCACCCTAGATGTACACTGACATTTTCCCCTCTATATGCTTCAAACAAACAGTCATCATGTATGCTGTATTCAGCAATTATCACTAAATTTAATAATAAATACAGTTGGTATCATACTACTATTTTAACCTAACTATACTTACCCAGATCTTCTGCTTCAAACAAACAGTCATCATGTATTCCGTATTCTCTACACCAATTAATAAAATTACTTGTATTATCTCTCGCAAACCAACTTCCTGATGAAGCTCTTTCTTTACATCGTACTTTACAATTTGGTAATTTCTTTAAAAACAAGAAAAAGTAGGATTTTTAGGGAAACAGAAATATCAAGTAAATGTTAGTTTGAATAGGCAGTGATATAAATATATAAACATAAATGGTGGTGGTTGGTTTTAATTTTGGTCAGTTGACCCAGCTGTAAATGGGTATGGATAATCTAGGAAAGGTCAATACCAAGAGGTTTGGTCAAGGATCAGCTGGTAGACAGGATCCTTGTGAACCCGAGTTGTTATCCTTGTAAAATAATTACCAAGTGGTTTGGTCAAGGACCAGCTGGTAGAAAGAATCCTTAACTGTGAACTTAAGTTATTATTCTAGTAAAATAGTATAGCTGTTTCTTTCTTTCTTTCAGAGTTATGGACGTTATGTTTATTATCATGATGTTTTGTAAAAAAACAAACTGTAACAGCATAAGATAAGTTCAAAACTCACCTCTTTAAATTTCCCTATTTTAATCCCTTCTTCAGCTTTCTTCTGGATAATATTGACTAGTTTACATAAATAGACTCCATTATCCAGGACATCTAGGAATGTTTTAGGTGATATGTCTATTTCTGTAAGGATTAAGACCATATTAATAATAAGATTAGACTGAAATTGTTATAAATAATATAATGCGATTGAATGAGATTAATATCTTTTACCTATTTCTATATATCTTATTAATATCTATTATTTACTATCTAATATAGAAATAGGTCTTTATCAGAGAGTCCTTAAAAACCCTTTCACCAGGGCCTGTGCTTTCTATGAGTTATATTCTCATTTAACTACAACACTGGCAATATCAATGGATTTCAGATTAGATTCCAGGAATATATTTTCAGGTATATTTCAGGACTGGTGCCATTGCTATATTCAGTATTTTATATGTCAGAGTTTTTTTGAAATATTTTCATGATAGCGCTTGACAATATGTTCATAATTTGGGTTATTTTGTTTCATAGAAGTATATTCTTGTTTTGATCAGTTATTATAGTTTATTGTGGGTACGGTATGTTATGTGCTGAAGGGAAACTATGTAGAAGAGATTACTACTTGTTAACGGGTACACAGGAGAAAATATATGGTTGACATTTAATCGATTATGTATTTCGATGATTGAAATCAAAATTATAAATTCTTAGCGAAGATGATTAATTATTTCGATTATTTTATCCTAAAGTCAAGTGATAAAATTGATAGATGGTAAAACCTCACTATGAAACTGAAACATTGCTGTATAAATCAAATCAATAAGAATAAAGTTCATCTATTAAACCTGGAATTTGGACCCTGTTTTATGATAAGAATTCGTAAACATGGAATTGTATACTGTACATTGAGAAAAAATACATTTACAACAAAAATGATTAACGTGTTTTGAGAAACAGGAACCAATCAATCTGTTTAAACTCAAGAAATAAAAATCGGGGGTCTCAAATGATTGAAATGAAATTCTAAATAGAAACTCTTAGTCTTACCTAAAGTTTTGGCCAACCACTGACAAATATCTTCTTTTAAAGGTACCAGACTTTGTTCCTGGAGTTCTGTTTGTTTCTGTCGAATCAAATCTGGTTCATCCTCACCTTCTACTTTATTTTCTTCATTTTCTATCTTCTTCTCAATGTCTGCCATTTTTATTTCACTTTTTGTCCTTTCCTTTTAAAGGAGATGTTTTTCGAAAGTATCACTTATTTTCACTAGATTATCATTTTCAGTTTTTAAACCTCTACTTCACTGTAGGTCCTACAGCTAGAAAATTCACAAAATATAATTCTAATTCTATAAATCAAATTCTACTGTCTTGCTGTTAAAATTTTTCTCAAAAAAAAAACACTTAGGTTTATATCAAAGACTTTGGACCTGTCTGATTTTTTGATTAAAAAACCACAATCAAGTTTTGCTTTTCCAATTTAGTTTAGATATAGAGACTTAACTAACTTGGTGAATAGCCTAGTTGATATGTTGTTGATACAGAAAAATACTGGATAAGATTGTTTTGCTGTTTCACCTCACTGAGCTATTCTTTATCCTTGTGACCTTTTCTTAAGCAAAATATATTCACAATGAATATAAGAGCTTCATCAAAAAATATATTTTGAAATATGTAGCTCTAGGCCTAATGAAATCATTGTTAATCAATAACATGATTCAGTCGACAATTATTCAGTTTGTCACAATCTAAGTTATCATCTACTACAGGTGATCAAACCAGCACCAAAACTTGTCATCACGTTTGACTCAGCTGTATTCTGTCATAATTTCCAATTAATTATTCTTTGGATAAAAATCGATCAAATGACAAATGACAGCCCCAACTTCAAAGTGATCGACTACGCATATCGAATAAGCTTTAAAAATGGCCACAAAAGCAAAAAGTGTAAACAAACCAAAACAACTCTGATGTCATGATGTTTTTGGTCTCGAAATTTCCCCAGAAGAATTGATCATTCCGACCAATAGGTTTCTGAAATACAATCTATGTTTCTGAATATATCTAAATAAATTTCATATATGAAAATAAGTTAAAATGTCTAAAATATCGATTAAGAAACTTACAAAGTAGAAATTTCAGACGACAGTCGTCCATTTGTCAACCACGCACCAATTATCTACCTGTCTTCTGATTGGTTGTTATTTATAGTTACATATTGACTGAAACTGAAAGTAAATTAGTTAAAGGAACACTGTCACCGAATGGAATCTAAGTTAAAGTTACCATCCATGATATGAAACCAACGAATATGTGAAAAATGAACTTTGAATTAAAAACTTTATTTTCACCTTAGTAATAATTATTTTAACCCAAGTGAAAACCAGGTGATTATTCGTGTAATTTTTACTTAAATATTTTGATTTTCACCTAGATGATAATTCAACTAATTTGTAATTAAATTTCTAGAGTACAAGCTTCCAGCATCCTCGACTACGTTTTCTACAGTCCTTTAAAATGTCCTTGATTTAACCTTCAAACTATTTTTTAAACTCTACACAAAATTAGACACAAAATATCCATTCTGTTCATCAATAGTCTAGACTCGCTTACTTTACTACTAGACTGTGCCAAAATAAATTAATTGCTGACAATCAAAGACAAGATAACCTGACGATGGCTTTATATCTAAAACGCGTCGACAGCCTAGAATATTATCTACCTTGTCATTTTTTTTAAATACATATAATTCATTGTAAAAAGCCAACATAGCAATAATGTGGATCAAATGGACGACTGTGTGATTATCGGTCATTTTTCGAGGCACATTAAAAGAGAATTTCTGAAGTCCGACAGGAAGAACTGTTTCTTTAACTATCAATAATCTTCTCAACTTAATAGACTCGACCAGTTAATAATCCACTGTTTTTATTTATACGCCTACAGTTGTTTAATATTAGACTCGCCCAATTCCTGAAATTACATCTTTACATAAAATTACACGCTAACATCCCTTGATGCCATAATCAACTCGTCCTTCTCCTGATTCTATAGACAACTATAGAGCGAAATCGACTAACCCAACCAAGTTCTTGGCATATTTTCCATCAGTGACCTTCTCTTCGGCTCGTATTATCTCATTTTTACCGTTAATCAGACACACTGTGAGCTTGTAGCAGAATTCAGGTAAGTCGTCTGCTTTATTTGGGCGGGAAATGGTAGAATTACTGTGGTATATCAACCGGGAATATGGCATCGTAATCCCGGCATTATTAACTTTAATACACACTTGTATTTTAATGGCGAATCACTGTATTTTTGAGGTGAAATCCAGTTTATTGTGTCTTTCTATCAACTACACCGTTCACTCTTCTCACAAATACATTATCACTTGTATTTTGGTCTGATGCCATGAAATTTAGAAAATGTATTGATATTTTAGATGAAATAAAATTATCGAGGGAATAATTTATTATTTATTGGTTATATTGTCAGCATATCTCTTGATGTTTGTAGATATATTAATTATATACCTTATAGTACAGGAGTGATGATAGCACTGTGTTTACCAGTCATGTCTGATTTGAGATCTAAATTCATGTTGATATAGCTGTATTTACCAGTCATGTCTGACTGGAGCTGTATTTACCAGTCATGTCTGACTAGAGCTGTATTTACCAGTCATGTCTGACTAGAGCTGTATTTACCAGCCATGTCTGACTAGAGCTGTATTTACCAGTCATGTCTGACTAGAGCTGTATTTACCAGTCATGTCTGACTAGAGCTGTATTTACCAGTCATGTCTGACTGGAGCTGTATTTACCAGCCATGTCTGACTAGAGCTGTATTTACCAGTCATGTCTGACTAGAGCTGTATTTACCAGCCATGTCTGACTAGAGCCGTATTTACCAGCCATGTCTAACTAGAGCTGTATTTACCAGCCATGCCTGACTAGAGCCGTATTTACCAGCCATGTCTGACTAGAGCTGTATTTACCAGCCATGTCTGACTAGAGCTGTATTTACCAGTCATGTCTGACTGGAGCTGTATTTACTAGCCATGTCTGACTAAAGCCATATTTACCAGCCATGTCTGACTAGAGCTGTATTTACCACTCATATCTGACTAGAGTCGTATTTACCAGCCATGTCTGACTAGAACTGTATTTACCAGTCATGTCTGACTAGAGCTGTATTTACCAGTCATGTCTGACTAGAGCTGTATTTACCAGTCATGTCTGACTTGAGCTCTAGAATGTTGATTTGGCTGTATTTACCAGTCATGTCAGACTTGAGCTCTAGAATGTTGATTTTACTGTATTTACCAGTCATATCTGACTCGAGCTCTAGACTGTTAATTTGGCTGTATTTACCAGTCATGTCTGACTAGAGCTCTAGACTATTGATTTGGCTGTATTTACCAGTCATGTCTGACTTGAGCTCTAGACTGTTAATTTGACTGTATTTACCAGTCATGTAAGACTTGAGCTCTAGACTGTTGATTTGACTATATTTACCAGTCATGTCTGACTTGAGCTATAGACTGTTAATTTGGCTGTATTTACCAGTCATGTCTGACTAGAGCTGTAGACTATTGATTTGGCTGTATTTACCAGTCATGTCTGACTTGAGCTCTAGAATGTTGATTTTACTGTATTTACCAGTCATGTCTGACTTGAGCTCTAGACTGTTAATTTGGCTGTATTTACCAGTCATGTCTGACTAGAGCTGTAGACTATTGATTTGGCTGTATTTACCAGTCATGTCTGACTTGAGCTCTAGAATGTTGATTTTACTGTATTTACCAGTCATGTCTGACTTGAGCTCTAGACTGTTAATTTGGCTGTATTTACCAGTCATGTCTGACTAGAGCTGTAAACTATTGATTTGGTTGTATTTACCAGTCATGTCTGACTTGAGCTCTAGAATGTTGATTTTACTGTATTTACCAGTCATGTCTGACTTGAGCTCTAGACTGTTAATTTGGCTGTATTTACCAGTCATGTCTGACTAGAGCTGTAGACTATTGATTTGACTCTATTTACCAGTCATGTCTGACTAGAGCTCTAGAATGTTGATTTGGCTGTATTTACCAGTCATGTCTGACTAGAGCTCTAAAATGTTGATTTGACTGTATTTACCAGTCATGTCTGACTTGAGCTCTAGATTGTTGATTTAGCTATATTTACCAGTCATGTCTGACTTGAGCTCTAGACTGTTGATTAGACTCTATTTTCCAGCCATGTCTGACTAGAGCTCTAGACTGTTGATTTGACTGTATTTACCAGTCATGTCTGACTAGAGCTGTAGACTGTTGATTTGACTGTATTTACCAGTCATGTCTGACTACAGCTCTAGACTGTGGATTTGAGACTGTATTTACCAGTGATGTCTGACTAGTGCTCTAGACAGGAGATTTTGCTGTATTTATATTGACTCTTAACATTTTACCCATTTTTGTAAGGGTAGTCAGCGGACCCCATCTGCCCCTATGTGTGGACGCCCATGAATATAATGTCAACAAAGGTTGAGTGCAAATTGATAAAAATTGTGCACATTGTTCAAGAGTTATTGCCCCTAACTGTGTAGTATAGTGAGATAGTATAGGTCAGTATAACTATTATTGTATTAATGTCACAGAATATATCATTATATTAATAAGTATTAAATTATTAACATATGGTCTGGGGTAAACTCTAGTACAATTCAACAGACTCATTCAAACATAGGCCACTGGTACTTGTTTCAATGTTAACAGCTCACATACAATCATTAATGAAATAAACTACTTTACTGATTGGTTTAATGAAGACAGGTTATGCCAAGCAGTGTAGAATGAAGGAAAGTTGTCAGGATAGCTATTTTAGCGTACTCTTTTCCTTGTGGTAACAGGTAGCATCTAATTCAGCCTGTCTTTAGGGTGGGGTCTGTGAGGGCTGGGCCTCAGGAAGTGAGAATTAAGCCCCATCAAAAATTTTCTTCAGTCCAGCGGAGATTGATTCATTTGCAGTGTCATTCATTCCTGGCGACGGGGCTGACCTAATTTTCAGTCATTGTTTTTTGCAATCCACTTAAACTAATCTTTTGTATGATGTCACCATTTTAAAAGTTGGTAGTAAAATTTGATTTTGACATACTTTGAAGGAGATTTTGATGAACGGAATTGTCTTGCTTGTACATTATTTATTGTTATTCCCAGATGCTCATGAAATTTTTAGAAAATTTCTTTACAATCTCTTTAAAATGTTTATTTAGATGTATAGTTTTGGATTATGTGTATTATGATTTAGTGTTTGGTATCAGTGAGTTATTTCAGTATTAACAGTTGTTCCTCTAGGAATCAAGTACAGAATGTCTGTAAACTCCTGGTTATTAGGTACTGGCTTGATTTGATCTTCATTAAACTGACTGTAGCAATCTTATAATAGAATATATTTCATAGTACCTGTATTCTAGTTTCTTATTCAAATACACTTCTCTATGTTATATTTTAAAGGGATTGTGGCAGGTCTAGTATTTAAAGGGATTGTGACACATCTAATATTTAAAGGGATTGTGACACATCTAGTATTTAAAGGGATTGTGACACGTCTAGTATTTAAAGGGATTGTGACACATCTAGTATTTAAAGAGATTGTGGCAGGTCTAGTATTTAAAGGGATTGTGACACATCTAGTATTTAAAGGGATTGTGACACATCTAGTATTTAAAGAGATTGTGGCAGGTCTAGTATTTAAAGGGATTGTGACACGTCTAGTATTTAAAGGGATTGTGACACATCTAGTATTTAAAGGGATTGTGGTATGTCTAGTATTTAAAGGGATTGTGACAAATCTAGTATTTAAAGGGATTGTGACACATCTAGTATTTAAAGGGATTGTGGTATGTCTAGTATTTAAAGGGATTGTGACACATCTAGTATTTAAAGGGATTGTGACACATCTAGTATTTAAAGGGATTGTGACACGTCTAGTATTTAAAGGGATTGTGGTATGTCTAGTATTTAAAGGGATTGTGACAAATCTAGTATTTAAAGGGATTGTGACACATCTAGTATTTAAAGGGATTGTGGTATGTCTAGTATTTAAAGGGATTGTGACACATCTAGTATTTAAAGGGATTGTGACACGTCTAGTATTTAAAGGGATTGTGGTATGTCTAGTATTTAAAGGGATTGTGAAGAGGTTATTTAAAAAGGTATGAAGAAAACACTAGTATCTAGTAAATAAGTCATCTAACAGAATAAATCTGATAGTATTTAACATTTTAATGTAGGAAAATTCTCATAGATACGCCTATATTAGTGGCAAGTTAAGTTATATTAATAATTTAAAGCTCAAGTCAGACATCACAACAGCCTCTAGTTAGGGTGGGGTCCGTGGGGGCCGGGCCCCAGCAAGTGAGTATTAAGCCACAGCAAAACCTTCTTCAGTTCAGCAGAAATTGATTCATTTACAGTCTATTTGTATAAAATCAAAAAGATATAGATTTTGATACGTTTTTGGCACCTCAATATTGTCAGAAATTAGTTCTCTGGGCCTTTAATTACAAAATCCCAAAATCAATTCAGTCCTGTTGACAGGGCTTCCTCTCAATTTCTAAACAGCATGACTTGCAAGTATATGACATGACCGGTAAAAACAGGTCATTCGGCAACCCTGAGGATATAAGCTGAGGATATAAGCTGAGGATATAAGCTGAGGATATAAGCTGAGGATATAAGCTGAGGATATAAGCAATAATGATGCTGTTAAACATGACTTGCAAAATACCACCTAATCAGCATTCTTGAAAATAATGAATACAGTTGAAATGAACAGACACAGTGGTGTTTTAAGGAGGGGGGTTGCATAAAAATTGAAAAATTTATTCTACTTTCATTGCCAAAATCGCATCAGACGTATTTTACACCTTCCCCGGATTAGAATATTTTCCAGAGGAAAGCTCCCCACCACGACTGAAAATTGAGCCGAGGTGCTTGGAAGGTGCTCGGATGGTCCTCGCGTTAATGAAATCCTGGTAATGCTAATGGGCAGACATGACTGGCAAATATCATACAATCAGTAGCCCTGAACATTGATGATGATCATGACAAACATGACTTGTGAAAGCATGACTGGCAAGTTCAGTGCAATCAGAAACCCTGAACATTAAAATGATAATAATGATGATAATGATGATGATGATAATGATAATAATTAATAATGATTGTGATAATGAATGAACAATGTAGAAGAAGTAATTGAAAGTTGTAATAAATTGTGTTACTATCTATAGTAATTGTCGAGTAACCGTGGTTATTGTATAATATGTTTATTATTGATGTTTATATTAAATATTGGTTACTATGACAACCATCATAACAACAATTAAACCAGTAGTATTGTTATAATTACAGTTGATTTTGTTATTTTCTGAAGTCATTAACTCTTCATTGTTGGATTATAAATAGGATATCGTACCAGCAAACAATTATACAAACCTCTCTGACAATATCCACAGATATCAAACAGTGACGATTCTCCAGGGCAAGGGGGAGGAATTGCTCTACAGGGGGGGGGCCGTGTCCAGCAAACAATTATACAAACCATACTGACAATATCCACAGATACAGTGATACAGGGGTGTAATTGCATTGCTTTCTGCCACCAAACTTTCAAATTCCTTGTCATTATACTTAGTGAAAAAACTGCCAGTTCACTCCCCTTGACAACTCTATGGCCTCGTTGTGGCCCCCTCACACGTACAAAGATCTTTTGAAACAGATGTAACTATTTATAGGTGAATGAGGCAAATTTAACAAGTACAAAATATTTCAAATGTGGTTCACGTTTTAGGTCTACCTATTTCCCTTGCCAAAAATCACTATGCTTCGTGGAATGGCTTTTTAGAAAAAGAGTCCTAAGTTATGGCCCTGAATTCTGATCCCTATGTCAGTGCTTTCTAGAGGAACCTTACGTTTTCAGCAATATTTGACCTTCATATTTCTATTTTCAAAGCAGACTTTATCTAGCATTGTTTAATGTAGTTTGACAAATCTGGCTTGGAACTTTTATCATCGTGAATATTTCTTATGAACTAACAATCTTTAAAACGGAAAGGGGCAACTACATAAAAAGTGCCTGGCCCAAACTTTCGGATATCTCATCAGTATATCACATCTGAATAACAGGTAAGGCTAGATTTGTTGGGTATGTTAAAAGTAGTAAATGAAATACAAGTTGAGATAAAATGATTTAGTTTGATTGATATCAGATTATAATGATCTCCAGAATAATGGCTGATTTCAGATTAAAAATATCAATCAATATTCAGAATCAATATCTCAACAATTAAATCTATTATCACTATATCATAGTTACCTCCAAATTATTTCCTTTATTTTATCAAATCTAAATAGTTAACTATATATCATCATGGCTTGACATTGTGAATGAAGAGATTGTAAATAGGTTTTCTAATTTTGTATATGTCAGAAACTGTTAGCATCAATTTGCACCATTTCAGTGTTCAATCTGATAAAACTTATTGTTTGATGATGTCACTAATCATGAAGGGTTATTTGTGATACAATCATATTTGCTCATAGTTACATCATCAAACACTTAGTTTTAGTGGAATTGCAGGAACCACAGACGTCTGATTGAAAATTGGAAAGTACAATTATACACATACATTAAAAAAAAACTCTTTATAATTTCTTGAAGGGGGAGGTGTATGTCAGCTGCAGGAGCACACTTGGCTGACAAGCCCAATGTAAGAAAGTTAAGTTTTTGTTAAAATACCTCCATATAAGGACCAATATATGATATTGAATACCTCTAGCAAGAAACATCTGGTCTTAAACTAGATATCTTTATATAGAGGTATTGTAATATCTAAAAACTGGTCTTTATATAGAGGTATATTAATATCTAAAAACTGGTCATTATATAGAGGTATATTAATAACTAAAATCAGGTCTTTATATAGAGGAGTTTTCATATCTAAAAACTGGTCTTTATATAGAGGTATATTAATATCTAAAAACTGGTCATTATATAGAGGTATATTAATAACTAAAATCAGGTCTTTATATCGAGGTATTTTCATATCTAAAAACTGGTCTTTATATAGAGATATATTAATAACTTAAAACAGGTCTTTATATAGAGATATATTAATAACTTAAAACAGGTCTTTATATAGAGATATATTAATAACTAAAAACAGGTCTTTATATAGAGGTATATTAATAACTAAAATCAGGTCTTTATATAGAGGTATATTGATATCTAAAAACAGGTCTTTATATAGAGGTATATTGATATCTAAAAACAGGTCTTTATATAGAGGTATATTAATAACTAAAAACTGGTCTTTATATAGAGGTATAGTAATAACTTAAAACAGGTCTTTATATAGAGGTAAAGTAATATCTAAAAACTGGTCTTTATATAGAGGTATAGTAATATTTAAAAAACTGGTCTTTATATAGAGGTATATTAATATCTAAAAACTGGTCTTTATATAGAGGTATATTAATAACTAAAAACAGGTCTTTATATAGAGGTATTTTAATATCTAAAAACTGGTCTTTACATAGGGGTATTATAATACAATCATGAAAACTGGTCTTTATATAGAGGTATTGTAATCTATACACTGGTATTAATGTAATGACACTAGTTTTTGATGTATTACCTATCAGACTCAACATACATACACAAAATTAGTACAAACTTTCAATATTCATTATTGGAACAGAACTTTGGTGGAAAACTTGTTAGATTACCATGGAGCTTTCAAATATCAGATACAAAGAAAGTAACAAAACTTATTTTAACTAAAATGATTTTTACTGGTCTGTATGAAATATAGAACAACAACCACTGGTTAAAGTTTTATGCAACGTTTCGACGTATTTCCCCTGTCGTCCTCAGGTACATAATGATAAGAAGTGATGGACAAACTATATATACATTAATGATTATTATTAAAAACACACAAGAGATAAATGGTTTATTGATACATAACATTAAATTTTAACAGGTACAATAAGAGGTATATAATTCTTAATATAACATACAGACTGATTAAATAAAATAATTGATATATATCATACTCACAAATTCTAAATGCCATTTAAACAACTTTGATCTGAAGGAAAGTTTAGAATTTTTTAAAACCATTGATGTTTATATTGAGTCTAGCACCTGGTAGTAAAATACACCTGTAAAATCTTTACCAAATATTTCAAAATGAAGAGAATTCAGGAGAACTATATATGAGAGATTTATAAGACAGTTAGTAATTATAGGAGATGGTAAATTAACTTAAATTTCGGCAGGAATCCTGCAGATCAAAAGACGTAAAATAGCCAGGTTCTCTGCAGGCTTCTGGGTATAATTTGTAGACGTAATACCTGGCATACTTCTTTCTATTTTCTACTCCGTGTTACGATTATACTGAATACAAATATATGAACATCCAGCTAGATAGTGTTTCACTTAACTTAATGGAGAGGGGGTTGGTTGATTTTATTGTTGAATATATGTAAATAATCTTCAGAATTACTAGAAATGGTAATATTCCTTTAGAAATACTTCAAATTATGAATTTTACTCACTATTTCTATATCTGTCTTTCTATATATGGCAGAGTCTCAAGAAAAGACGACTCGTCATTTTAACTTTCAAACGCAGATAATTCTGGACTCACATGGATTTGAAAGCTCAAATTTCAACACTAATACTAATTGGCTCAGCTAAAAAATTCGAGTTTCTGAGACTTCAGTATAATTGGGCAAATGAATGGTGAATCTGTTAATTTTAAAGATACCAGTGGAAATAAACGTTGATTTGATCCATCAAAACCACTCCTAGTTTAAAGAACCAGGTTTGATGAAGAATTTTTAAACGTAGGATGGTGATAAAAATATATCCTGGTGAAATTTAACGCTACCTGCCATCTGTCAATTTAGTTGAATCGTAAAAAAACTTTCTTCTACTTCACTTTTTATTACCGGTAGTTATAATCTCTCTAAAATAGTTTTTACCATCTCTTCACCCTCCTTCCCTCGTAATCTCCAACATTGTAGGGTAAAATCTGATTTCTTACATCTGTCAATATTCAGTTTTTGGATTAAACTTCATTTATATAGATAGATTGCCAGACAAGGTAATATACACCCACTGGCAGCTGTCTTAATCGATAACTCTGCTATATTAACTAAAAACTGAAATCTAATTCTACCATTTATCCAACAATTTATTTTTAAAGTTCAATGTTTTTAACCTAATAATCTTTTTTTTTTGCAACACAATTGAGGCTTTGCAGAAATTTTTTTTGTCACTTTAGTTTTACTCCCCATATCTCTGTGATTTTTTAATTATAGATTAAGGGAAGATGCAGCATTTAGGGGATGATTTGAGTCTTGAATATATGTAAAAAGTCCTCAGAAGTACTAGATATTCCTTTAAAAATACTTCAAACTAGGAATTTTACTCTCTATTTCTATATATGTCTTTTCTATAAATCACAGAGTCGTCATTTTAACTTTCAAACATGGCTAATTCTCGACACACATGGATTTGAAGACTAAAATTTCGACGGTAAGCTGTGAACACTATTACTGATTAACTTAGCTACAAAATTCCTGTTTCTGAGATTTAACTATGATTGGTCAAAAAAAAAAACGGCGCATCCATCGCTTTAGTTTGTATGTGACTTTCCAAGTCCATGTGTAGCTCTCCAAATAGTCCAGTCATTGGCTGACAATTTAATTTTAGTAGCTGGACATGACTGGCAACTCTGATGTCACTGTGATATGTTAGTTCTATACTGTACTGAAATAGTTGGATAAGGAGCGTTGATTTTTTTTCATTTGCCAGTCGTGTCTGATTGGAGCTTTTGATATGCCATGTTATTGGAATTGTTTATGGATTATTTCCTTTTGTTCATTTTTTAGGGACTCAGGCTGAAATAGGTCAGTTGTCTGAAGTTTGCACAGCTTGAAACAGTGAATTACAACATGTTTCAGGTTCTGTTTTATTATTTGATAGGACACAGGCTGAAATAAGTCAGTTGTCTGAAGATCACACAGCTTGAAACTCTGTGTAACATGTTTCAGGTTCTGTTTTATTATTTGACAGGACACAGGCTGAAATAAGTCAGTTGACTGAAGATCACACAGCATAAAACTCTGTGTAACATGTTTCAGGTTCTGTTTTATTATTTGATAGGACACAGGCTGAAATAAGTCAGTTGTCTGAAGTTTGCACAGCTTGAAACAGTGAATTACAACATGTTTCAGGTTCTCTTTTATTATTTGACAGGACACAGGCTGAAATAGGTCAGTTGTCTGAAGTTTGCACAGCTTGAAACAGTGAATTACAACATGTTTCAGGTTCTGTTTTATTATTTGATAGGACACAGGCTGAAATAAGTCAGTTGTCTGAAGATCGCACAGCTTGAAACAGTGAATTACAACATGTTTCAGGTTCTGTTTTATTTTTTGACAGGACACAGGCTGAAATAGGTCAGTTGTCTGAAGTTTGCACAGCTTGAAACAGTGAATTACAACATGTTTCAGGTTCTGTTTTATTATTTGATAGGACACAGGCTGAAATAAGTCAGTTTCTGAAGATCGCACAGCTTGAAACTCTGTGTAACATGTTTCAGGTTCTGTTTTATTATTTGACAGGACACAGGCTGAAATAAGTCAGTTGTCTGATGATCACACAGCATAAAACTCTGTGTAACATGTTTCAGGTTCTGTTTTATTATTTGATAGGACACAGGCTGAAATAAGTCAGTTGTCTGAAGATCACACAGCATAAAACTCTGTGTAACATGTTTCAGGTTCTGTTTTATTATTTGATAGGACACAGGCTGAAATAAGTCAGTTGTCTGATGATCACACAGCTTGAAACTCTGCGTAACATGTTTCAGGTTCTGTTTTAAGATTTCTATATTGATTGTTATTATAAATTGGAACCAGGTCAAAACAATTCTATTTTCCTGGTTCACACCCAGTTTCACACCCTGCAGCTACCTGTTCCTAATTACCTGTCTATTGTAATATTATAGAGTCTAAGGTAATATTTATCTCATAATCTAGATTTGTGAATTAGCTATAGGGCACTGGAGGATATTGAAGACAGAATTGTACAGGGCTTTAACAAGGTGAATTCCTCATACCGAATTTGACAAAATAGAAATTTATGTAAAGAATATGTTATTGATCTAATATATGGCTTATTTTTTGATGTCCACAGTAAAGGTGGTTAACATTTGAAGTCTGCTGGAATCATTGCAATGAAAGACAAAACTGTCTTTCAAGACAACAGGATTTTTGTCTCATAGAAAAATGACCCTAGTTAAGGACCTCATGTAATAAAATAGAATATTCTGCCCTAGATTTGGGTAATGTCTGAATGGAATTTTGTCTTGAAGCCTCCTGAAAATATCGAGAATAATTCTAAATTTATCAGTATTGTATAACAGGTGAAAAGAATGACATTTCACCCAAATTCTATTCTAACTTGTTACTAGGCAACCACTAGCTGGTATTTTGGGGTATTTCTCTAGTTTTTTTGACAGATTGAGAGAAGTCTGACTGATTGAGAAGATTATGTTACTTTGAACAGAAATTCACAAAAACTCAAAACTTTTTAAATCATTATTTAAATCAGAGGGAGAAAACTGACAAAAACTCTAACAATATTGTTATAACAACTAAAATCAGAGAAAAATCAGTAAATATCTTTTCTAATAGGTAAATAATTGATGTAGATTGTCTCTCAGCTCTAGGTAAATACATTATGAGGTGGGTAATGTCGTTAGCTAGGCTGGGAATTCTCAACACCTGATACAACTACGCAACTTGGTTTGTAGAGAGTCCACATAGCTATTATTGTATATCAGGTATATCTAGGTTTGTCAACTCAGGAAGCTAATCCACCAGTCTCAAAATACAGTGTTCCAACCCAGCATTAGAGGGGAGTATTGATGCTTATTACATAGTTCAACAGTTGTTACCCGCTTTCAAAGAGATATTCTTTTAGTCTGGCACCAGCAAGGATTGTATTAAGGGGTGAAAGCCAACTCTTGGCCAACCCTCGAAAGCACAGGCACAGGTATCAGAATATTTTTCGTACCTTGAGAGGGATTCAAACCCACAACACCTACTGTTGTTAGGATGATGGTATCTCTATATGACCACAAGGAGAAAAGAAAAGAGAAGATAAAAGAAGGTGTATCTGAATTAAGAAAGAAAGTTCTATGAATGAACTATTTTTAATGAAAGATAAATCATCTAAAAATATCTTATACAGATTCATTCATCAACTCTAATACAAGTATAACTGATCAACTCTAATACAAGTATGACTGATTCACTCTAATACAAGTATGACTGATCAACTCTAATACAAGTATGACTGATCAACTCTAATACAAGTACGACTGATCAACTCTAATACAAGTACGACTGATCAACTCTAATACTAGTATGACTGATCAACTCTAATACAAGTATGACTGATCAACTCTAATACTAGTATGACTGATCAACTCTAATACAAGACTGATCAACTCTAATACAAGTATGACTGATCAACTCTAATACAAGTATGACTGATCAACTCTAATACAAGTACGACTGATCAACTCTAATACTAGTATGACTGATCAACTCTAATACAAGTATGACTGATCAACTGTAATACTAGTATGACTGATCAACTCTAATACAAGACTGATCAACTCTAATACAAGTATGACTGATCAACTCTAATACAAGTATGACTGATCAACTCTAATACAAGTATGGCTGATCAACTCTAATACAAGTATGACTGATCAACTCTAATACAAGTATGACTGATCAACTCTAATACAAGTATGACTGATCAACTCTAATACTAGTATGACTGATCAACTCTAATACAAGTATGACTGATCAACTCTAATACAAGTATAACTGATCAACTCTAATACAAGTATGACTGATTCACTCTAATACAAGTATGACTGATCAACTCTAATACAAGTATGACTGATCAACTCTAATACAAGTATGACTGATCAACTCTAATACAAGTATGACTGATCAACTCTAATACAAGACTGATCAACTCTAATACAAGTAAGACTGATCAACTCTAATACAAGTATGACTGATCAACTCTAATACTAGTATGACTGATTCTGTATTTGGGAAGCTATAAAATTAAAGATTAGAAATAAGATCTATATAGGCTCAGTGGCGCTAACCTCCTGAGACTGGGGTTACAAATAGGGAACTACTGTCAAGGCTTATTCAAAGTGTGGCAACTCTGTGAAGGTATAATTGTTGCTAGCCTTACCTGTAGCTTCTGAGAAAGTGTTCTCCAATGAAAATTTTCGAAAAATTGAATTGAATTTGTGCTTTCAAACACATATTTCGGGGCAAAAACCATATAAAAACAATTCTTAAAATAAATTTGTCTGTCGTTCATATATAAAAGAAATCTATAGAATTCGAAAGTGAAATTTTTAGTTTGGGGTAAATTGGAAGAAATACTTCTGTTTTTGTATTTCTGAAGACTATTGACATATATTCAGACTCAAGACTCAAATCAAACATTGAAAATGACGAACCATGAACTTTAAGGTTTATACAAGACTCATTCTCAAAGATAAATATTCTACAGCTCTTTGCTCAAAATAACCCAAATAACTTTAAAACCATCAGCTTATTTATTAAGATATATTTTACCATCAACTCCATCTTCTAGTTTGGACATTACGCTAATTATCAAAATGATTACCACGGAAACATGCTGATTATTGATTGACTGTTTTATTGCCAATTGTTTACTTATATAATTACATTGATGGACTTTTTATTGGTCAAATTGACCTCGACACTCGCGACTGATTGGTTAATATGATTAAGGTCAGAGGTCAGCTGATGTGTTAACGACTATAGTCAACAAAATAAACTAACCACTGTCCAATCATCGTGCTCAATTAAACAACATGGTCGTACAAATTAGTTGTTGGCGCGAGACAAATTAAAACTATCTAGTCTTCATTTTATTATCATTATTATTATTATTATTATTGAAGGTTTGCCTCCTGAGACTGGGGGTATAAATAAGGGGCAAACTGACTCAATGGGGGGTGGGGTGGGGGTACTACTGTCAAGGCTGAATTCAGCATGAGGCAACTCTCTGGAGGCATATTAGTCAAAGCCTTCTGGGAGGGTACTTTAACTAAAAATTACAAAAAAACTGAATTGATTTGGTGCCATGTAGTATATATTTTAGGGCAAAAAACATATAAAAATCTTATTTAAAATAAAGTGGGTGTAAAACTGGGAGTGTAAAACTGGGAGTGTTAAACTGGGAGTGTTAAACTGGGAGTGTTAAACTGGGAGTGTAAAACTGGGAGTGTAAAACTGGGAGTGTTAAACTGGGAGTGTTAAACTGGGAGTGTTAAACTGGGAGTGTAAAACTGGGAGTGTTAAACTGGGAGTGTTAAACTGGGAGTGTAAAACTGGGAATGTTAAACTGGGAGTGTTAAACTGGGAGTGTAAAACTGGGAGTGTAAAACTGGGAGTGTTAAACTGGTAGTGTAAAACTGGGAGTGTTAAACTGGGAGTGTAAAACTGGGAGTGTAAAACTGGGAGTGTAAAACTGGGAGTGTTAAACTGGGAGTGTTAAACTGGGAGTGTTAAACTGGGAGTGTTAAACTGGGAGTGTAAAACTGGGAGTGTAAAACTGGGAGTGTAAAACTGGGGGTGTTAAACTGGGAGTGTTAAACTGGGAGTGTAAAACTGGTAGTGTAAAACTGGGAGTGTTAAACTGGGAGTGTAAAACTGGGAGTGTTAAACTGGGAGTGTAAAACTGGGAGTGTTAAACTGGGAGTGTAAAACTGGGAGTGTTAAACTGGGAGTGTTAAACTGGGAGTGTAAAACTGGGAGTGTAAAACTGGGAGTGTTAAACTGGGAGCGTTAAACTGGGAGTGTTAAACTGGGAGTGTAAAACTGGGAGTGTTAAACTGGGAGTGTAAAACTATTTTTCTTGATAATTTAAAGATTTGAAATTGAATGACCAATCAGATAACTGGAATAATAAAACTATTATTTAAGCTACACGTTCTCCATTCGTTTGACCAAATTGTAAACCTTCATTAGTTTCAAAAACAGGAATAAAAGATTCATTAATTCATTCATTCACTCACTCACTTCTCTATATACTGTAGAATTATTTGTTCTTTCTGAATTTTGTAAAGTGTAATATCATTTCTTTATTTAGTAACTCCATTCTTCAAGATAGTATTATCACATGGAATATTCATTCATTTATCTCTTGTGTGTTCTTAATAATAAGCATTAATGTATATATAGTTTGCCCATCACTTCTTCTCATTATGTACCTGAAGACGACGGGGGGAAACACGTCGAAACGTTGCAGAAAACTTTAACCAGTGATTATTGTTCTATAAAGCTGTGTCTATATATCATTCTTATTTTTATTCATTCATTCATTCTTTCACTCACTCTGTTTACCACTAGAGAATTATCGGAGAGAAACAGACAGAAATTTAAAATCAATATTAGTAATCGCAGTACAATAGGTCACATGACTGAGTTGAGGCGAGTAGCAGTCAGTCAACCTGTTTTTATGACCACAACGTGATATTTTCTGTTAGATTATGAATCAACTGGTAATATGACAGAGAAATTTGATGATAATTTATTGAAGTGTATTAAAAGTGGAATATGTATTGATGTTCTCGTGTATTTTTTAAAATAACTATATTTTAGTTAGAGCAGAGTTTAAACTAATTATTAATAATTTATTTCTATAGCGCCTATAATCCAGCAAATTCTGCTCTATGGCGCTGTTGTACAATATGGCATATTACAAATCAACATAACATACATAGAAAAACAAACAAACAATGAAACTTCAAGACCTATCAACCGAAGATAACATTACAAGCAATAACATACATTAAGAATAATACTGTATAAATAGTTCAGTTTTTAGTTGTTTTTTAAAAGATGACAAGATGACAATATTTTTGAGATTAGCAGGTAAATTATTCCATATATTATACAAAATTTGAAAATTTTTGAAGAAGTTGAAATAAAATTTAAATTTATAAAATAAGGAATTCTCCAACTGTTGACATTTATAAATATAAATTTGACCTGTAATAACTTAAAATATTTTTTATATTGGCCAATATTTACAATAGCTATTGTTTTTTGCATTGGGCTAAAACAAATTCTTGTGGTGTTTATATCACCATAAATTCCATTGCCTCATCACCAAAACATTGGGTGTAGTAATTCTAATCAATGATGTTGTTATTAATTGACGTCAGTGTATCAAATAGACGGTCTCCAATGTAAACAATCATGTTGGTAGTCCCAAACGTTGAAACGTAAAGAAATAGGCCCTACTTAAATTCATACTAAAGTCTTTGTATCAAAATTAGAATGTCTTGAAAACGTAAATATAAACAATAAATTGTTATCCTATGGCGGTTATGGTCGTATATCAGGACAAAGATTGGCTGGAAAATTGATCATAAATACAACGATAAGGCGCATTTATTCAATTTTCCAGTCAACCTTTGTGCTGATATACGACCATAACCGCCATAGGGTAACAGTTTATTGCTTAATTGGA